TCTCTCTCTCTCTCTCTCTCTCTCTCTCTCTCTCTCTCTCTCTCTCTCATTTAATTGCTTTTTCTGTGTTACTCGCTGCCCGAGAGCTTTTACGTTAACTCACGGCGTGGTTAAACAAGGCAGGTTTGAGACAATAATCACGTTGCAAAAAGAAGTTAATGAATTCTCGGTCCGGTCAAAATCGTTGCTGTCTAGTTAGACACATCTATGACGACGTGAAAACATACGATGTACTGTACAGTTCATTAATTGAATTTTTTTAGAATGTAGGATAGTGTAAAAAAAGTGTTGATGAGCACGTCATCTCCAGGTTTCCGACGCGTATCTTTCTGGGGATCAGAACCGATAACGCACTCGTCTACACTGGTGTGGCGATCGTCGTAGCTTCGGTTTGCCGTCGGGTATTCTTTCTGTTGTTGGATCAGAGGAGATGAGTTTTGCGGCATCACAGCAACTTGAGTAAGAATGAATAGTATATTCACTGTTCTACGACCCATGCTTTTAAGGGATTTGCGAGCTGAACTAATGAAAAAAAATCTGAAGAATAGCCAGACTACATCTTCTAAGAACACGACACTAGCCTACACTAAAAAAAGACTCGATTAACGAACGTGTACTATCATCACGACAAGGACCTTACGATGCTTTCATATCGCACCTCTGTGTCGATCGAATGCAAGCTCAACATTTGCAATGCGCGCGCACTCGCGAAGTTGAAGAGGAATCGTGGTCGTTCGAGTGCCCTACGGTATGCACAACTTAATATACCGGCGAGATAAAATTCAAGCCGAAGGGAGAAGCGTTTAGGTATTCGTCGAGAGAAGAGAGAGAGAGAGAGAGAGAGAGAGAGAGAGAGAGAGAGAGAGAGAGAGAGAGAGAAAAAGAGAGACGGAGAAAACAGTCGAGAAATTTATTTTCCAAGTGAAACGGGTGCCGTTTCACAGCGATAAAGCCACGCGCGTAGCTTACGAGATAAAGCGAATGTGAATTTGACGCATCCATATTCGTCGGAGTTTTCGTAGAACCACTACAAACCGTTGAAATAGTCAGCTTGGAAAATATTTCTTTTCAGAACGGCCAGTATCCGCCCACGCACAGGCGTGGAACGACATTTTTATTTGTGAGCGCAAAAAAAAATAGAAAAGGACGTAGAATGCGATTCGAATAGGCCGATGGAGTTACCGGCGCTTCCAGCGCCGCTTTCTGTTCGATTTCTCCGTCTATTCACACATTATTTTCAGCTGTTGAATTTGGTTAATTGGAAACGGTATTTCAAAGTGTGGCGACGATGCTCTAATCGCGACATAAACCGAAATGCAAATTGCACGGAGAGGGTAGAGACCCAAAAACTTTTTTTAAGAAAGAGTTTTTTCCTCTTTTTTGTTTTTTAATATCGCACAACGCAATTCGCTCGTCCATGTTACGGAGATTTTATTATAGCGATCGATATTCACGGGTTTGTATAAATCAATTTTTGCAACGAATAAATCGCCGCAGTATCATATTTCCAACATCGTTACCTATCGCGTCTCTCTTTCTCTCTCTCTTTCTCTTCTCCCCTTCCTCTCTCTCTCTCTCTCTCTCTCTCTCTCTCTCTCTCTCTCTTTGACACGTGTAATAAATTAGCGTCAAACTTTATATCGCGTGATAATTGAACACGTCATAATTTCACGAGAAAGGAAGTTTGTGGAAGCGGCAGACCCGTTTATATTGACAAATACTGAGGAATCGAATCAGTCCGGTACCGACTGTTATCCTCAATATGGAGTGCTAGTGCCTGACCGCGCCTTGGATGCTAGGTAATCTCGATAGGAGCGCGATAATTCGATAGCCTAAATGGCAAAAGCAAACGGGAGGAAGATAAACGGCGCTTGCCCGAGGGTCACTACAAATGGTTACGTCGTTAGGGGCACAAAGGGAGACTATGGAAACAAGTGCAACATGCAGATGCACGTGTGTTTAGTAATACCGATCGTGTTTAGATCGTGTTTAGACGTTTAACGATGCACGGGCAAATCTTCCTTACAAATACACCTTTAATAACTCACTGAGAAAACACCGTCAGCACGGGTAATTTCCGCGTAATTACGGTGTCGGTGTCGCGACGAT